CCTCTCTCTCTCTCTCTCTCTCTCTCTCTCTCTCTCTCTCTTTTTGCTTCATGTATCATTTCAGAAAAAAACCAAAAAAATGTTGTTTAGCAAAATGATAATCAAAATATCCCTGTTTTTTTCCCTTGTTTTTTTTGCAAAGATTTTCCCAAATTGATTTAGTTTTTGTTGGAAATATTTTAAAGTTTAACCGATAGCTGTCGCCACATTGCAAGCATTTATTTGAAAATTTTGATAAAATTATTTGTAATTATTAAATTCTTCTTTTTTACTTTTTCTTTCAATCACTAAAATAGGAATTCAGAAAAACGTAAAGAAAAATCTAGAAAAGCAGCACGTGAACGACGTAGTCAGGAGGCAAAATTATTCGATTGTATTGAAGAAATATTACCCGTACCGACAAAAATATTGGAACATTTGGACAAAGCATCATTAGTACGAATAGCCATCAATTATCTAAAAATACGTTCAGTAATTGAACCATTCAATGGTATGTTATTCTTTTTTTTCTAGTCAATAAATTCAAATGTTTTTTTTTGTTTTTTCTTTGCTTCTCAAAATGAAAAATTAGTCAACAACAATGATACAATATTGGATGAATCAATAATCGATAAAATAACAATCGATCATTCATTTTTGAATACATTGAATGGATTTTTATTTGTACTTTCAAAAAATGGTGACATTATTTATTTATCCGAAAATGTTGAACGATATCTTGGTTTAAATCAAATTGATTTGATGGGACAATCAATTTATGATTATAGTCATCCATGTGATCATGATGACATTAAAACATTTTTACAGCCATTAATTGATGCATATAATGCAACTAAATCATCATCATCATCTTCATCGACTATTCCATCATCAATGGATTCATTATCGATAAAAACAGAACCATTAAAAACATCATCCAAATCACCATCAACTGTAATATCTTCATCATTAAATAATAATAATGATCAAAAAATACTTGACAATACAAATGGACCATATTTTATACGTATGAAATGTACATTGACGAATAAAGGTCGAAGTCTTAATCTTAAATCAGCCAATTATAAGGTATAGTTTGTTTGCTTATGATTGTAATGATTTGTTTTTCATGTTTTTTTTTTAAAAAAATTAATAAAGGTAATCAAATGTCATGGTCGTATGATAAATTTGGAACAAATAAATCCAAAATATGCAAATCTGATTGGTGAAAATTATCGTCATTATATGATTGTTATTGCCGATGTTATACAACATCCGATCCGAATGGAAATACCATTGAAAAGTGATTTATTCATTTCAAAACATTTACCTAATATGAAATTTTCATATGTTGATGAAAAGTATGTTATTGTTGTTGTTTTGCTTATCCATATTAATTAATTAATTTTGTTTGTTTGTTTTGTTTTATTTCGGTTTTCATAATTAGTATCAAAGAACTTTTTGGCTACAATGTTAATGAATTGATTGGCACATCATTTTATCAATATTTTGATGGTAATGATTGTAAACAGCTTAGCATTCTGTTCAAAACATGTAAGTAGAAATTTTGTTTTGTTTTTTCTAAAATTATATTTTTTTTTCTCTTCATCAATCTAATTGAATCTTATGACATTTATGAATTGATCCGGTTAGGAATTAATTGATAATGATGAATGATGGTTGCCATAAACAAAACGCCCAATGTTTAGAACAATTCAGTTGTTGTTATTTTTTCATTATTATTTTTTTCCCATCGTCATTGTTCAAGAGATCAAGGCTGTTTAATTTTTTTTCCCCTTTCACTTAGTTGTATTTTGTTTCGGTTGTTTATCTAAATTTTGTCAATTCATCATGTTTATCCGTATAAATTCACAATTTGTATTTTTCCATTCAATTCAATCCGGATGATGATTTTTTTTTTGTTTAAAACTTTTTACAGATTTTCGTTGTTGTTGTTGTGGTTGTCATACCTGATTGAATTGAAAAAGTTTTTTTTAACTTGATAACCGACATTGTTTTTTCGAATGTTTTTCCATCTTCACAAACACACACACACATCTCATTTTTCAGATGTTTTTTCCAGATGTCATATTCTTTTGCCTTCTTTGTAGTATTGTTTTTTTTTCTGAATCGATTTGGACAAAATGAATGTTTGTTTACATAAGTGACATCTAAATCTTGATCATTTATTTTCTAGTTTTTTTTCTCATTGTTTGCTATGTAAAAGATTTGATAATGGGTATACCATTTAGGAAAACTCGAAGAAAAACAAACAATAAAAATATTCACATTGGAAAAAAATTTAGATTTCCTTCCAATTTTTTTTTGTTGTTCATAGTTTGCTGTTGGTAAAGCCATTATTTGCCAAAAAGAAAACATTATCCATCCATTAATGAATAATACCTTTACCTCTTTTAAGAACCTTTAGTTGTTTTTTCAAATTGAATTTCTTGTCATTCTTTCATCATCATAATTTTTTTTTCAATTATCATTTGTTTTTTCTTTGTTGTTGCTCGAATAGTTATAATTAGGAAGACCCTGCTTTTAGAAAAAAAACATAAAACAAATTATGATTTGAGTTGGGATTATAGCCAAAAAACAAAACAAAATGTTATTGTAGAGAAGCTGCAGTTCTTCTTTTATCATGGCAGAAATAGATTCTACATACCAATTACGGTATGATGATGTTTTGTGTTGTTAGCCGAAAACAAAAACAAAACAAAACAAAATTCATTATCTTTTGTTTTTTATGTTTCACGCCTTTTCACCTTTCATATACCATTATTATCATCATTGTTTGTTTGTTTGTTTTTGTCTTACCAATTCCATTATAACTTTTATGAAAGTTTATGTAAGCAAAAAATAAAAAAACATTGTAAGATTTGATACAAATAATAAACTATAGTTTATTATTTTATGACTTTTTATAATTATGATGATGATGATGATGATGGTTTTTGTTTACATCATTCAAATTGTGAATTTTCAAGAATATCTTATATGGAAAACAAAAGAATAGTGTGTGAAAAATAACGCCAGGAATTTTAACAAAATCAATCAACAACCGAAATTACACAATCACAGGAAATAGTAGAGAGGAAGAAAAAAAAAACATAATGTTGACCTAAAATCGATAAACTATCGATTTTTTCCACCAAATTCAAAACTAATGACGTCAATTGTTTTTTGAAATTTTGTTTCTTTTTCCTATTTGATATTTGTATGTTTGTGTATCAATTAAATCATTGATTTGAATAATTTTATCATTTTAAAATTAATTTTACCCATTTACATACATATCATGTTCCTATCGTTTTGTTTTTTTTCTGGCCCCCTCCTAATAAATTATTCATTTTTTGATTGATCTTTTTTTCTGGGTACACAATGTACAAATAGTTTTTTTTTTGTTTAAGCAAATTTTTAAAAATTGACAAATTGAAAAAATGTCGAAAAATTTCATTTCATAAATAAAAACATACAAAGATAAAAATAATTAATATCAGAAACATGATTTTTTCCAATGATGATAATGATGATGAATAATGATTACTTTAGATGATGATAATTCATCATCAATTTTAACAACGGTGATTATTTGGTTAAATTACATAATCAATGAATATTTTTGGTAGTAGTGGCTGACAAGATATATAGAATCTATGGACAAATTGAATGATATAGAAATAGAGAGAGAGAGAATTTTCTTCATTCTGTTCACAATATTGATTCGGCGAATTATTGTCGTCATCATCATCATTTTTTTTCTATGATTTAGTAGTGGCAATAATTACGTCAATGATGATGATAATATTCAATCATATAGTTATTTTATTAGATATGATTGGAATTGCGCATGTAATGGATTATTATTTTGTTTTCAATATAAAATGTGAATCCAGCTACATTAGAATTCTTAATATCTGTATATAGTGTTGTTGTTGTTGTTGTTGTTGATAATGTAAATGTATGTGATGGGAAATTTTTTTTTTTGGGTTTTCAAAAACAAGAATTATTAACAATTCCTTAGTATGTCAATGGGACACAAACACACAAACGTGAAATGTGAAAGCGAAAAAAAAGTAGCAGCAATTGCGATTTGAAGCAATCGAAACAGACATTTTTTTTTGTTTCTCAGAAAAAGATATCCATTCTCTTTATTCGCTCCCTCTTTCTGTTTGGATTGAATGATGAATACCAGAAGAAAGAGAGAGAGAAAGTACATATTGATAGCTTGCGAGGAAACACACAAACCAGACAGCATGCTTGGCGCCTCACTTATTCATTTTGAAAATTGAACAAATGATATTTGAATTTTTTTTTTTAATCATACGCACACCATATACACGCGGACATCATCTATAGATACGATGTGTTTATGTGTGTGTGTTTGTATTGAGTGTGTGTTTTTTTTTCATTAACTTTATGCGGCTCTTTTTTTTCGTTTGTTATTTCAAACTGAATAATAATAATAATAGAAAAAAAATCTCTGCTATTTGGATTCGGTTCAGTTTGATTCAGTTTGGTTCGGTTTTATTTGGATTGTTGTTTCGATAAAGATGGTGCAATTTTTTTTTCTTCTTCATTCACTTGCATTGAAGAAGTGGCCTTACTTAGTGTGTTTATATGTGTGAATCTAAAAGAAAAAAAAAATGTACATTTCTGGTTTGATTTTGTCGCCTTTTTTTTGTCGTTTTGAAAGAATATTTTTATCTACTCTGAATCCATAATTTGAACTACTACGACCAAAATAATCTACTATTAATACTACTACTACGGCTGCCAGATAACCAGAAATTTGTAAAAAGAAAAGAAAAGAAAAACTACTACAAGGTTTGTTTTATTTTGTGATAAACGCAAATGATGATGGAAAAAATGTGAATCTTTTCATTCAAAATTGAATGAAAATTGTTTTTTTTTGTGTATGTATGGGGTGGCACACATAAATATCGTCGGTTATTATCATTTATTATCCACATTTTATGGTTCGGTTTTTTTTCTGGTTGTTTTTTTTCCAGTGAGAGAAAGAGTGTGTGTGTGTGCGATAGTTGAGAAGAAAAGGAAGAAAGTGGTTTAATGAAGAGAAAGGGGAAAAATGATGTTTAAAATTTAATTTTTTATTAAATTTCTATTCATTAAATTGGTTTTTTTTTGGTTTTCTTACAAAGTGATTATTTGTTTTTGGTTTGTGTGAAACACCATCAATCGATTTTAGTTTGTTTGTTTGTTTGTTTTTTTGGTGCTGTTGCTGATGATGTTTTTTCTTTTCTGTTGTCGTCATCATCATCATCATCATCATCATCATCAACGTCAACATCGACAACTTTGAAAAACGACAAAATTTATTGATCACTTTAAATAATCATCATGTATTGATGATATGTTTGATGATAATTTTATCCAATGAATTATGATAAAAATCAACTGCTATGCTACTATTATTATTATGTGAATATTCAATCAAATGATGGTGAGGGAATAATCATTTTTTTAAATATATGAATGGTGTGCTTTTTATTTGGATAGTGTATGATGTACCACGTTTTAATTATGAAGAAGAGAAATTTTTTTTTTTTGATGCCATGCATTCATCAAATGTAGCTAATTTTTTTAAAAAAACAAAACTTTAATTTTTAATTACTGTTATGTTATGTGAGAAATATTCATTACAAATTATGTAATTAGTAAATTTGATTAATTTGAAGGGGGAAAAAAGAATCGATTATCAATCTACAGACGAAAAAAAAGGAGGATGAAAAGTTTTTTTATAATGGTAACATAATGATATGATAGATTAATGGATGATAATGATCATCATTATCCATTAATTGGATGTGTGTGTTGATGAATTTATTTATTTTGAAAAATTTAAAAATTCCCAACATCATCATGATGATGAATCCAATCGAATTCCATTGATTTGTTTTTGTCAAAATCCGTTAGTTTGTGTTTATGGATATCACCGGTGTTGTTGTTGTTGTTGCTGGTGGTGTGTGATCTTGCATGTTTTTGGCCAATTTTTTTTTCATTAATAAAATATTAATTAGCTCATCATGATTTGAACAGTGATATGTATAGTTCGCACCTACACACACACACACACATGATTTTCCGAAATCACTCGATACACACCAAACATATCAAACACCCATATTTATCGTGGATTTCTTTTTCATTGATCATTCGATATTCGTTGTTCAACAAAAATAAAAAGAATATTCTTCCATTTGCCATTTGTCATTTGTTTTTCAATTCAATTTTTGTGTTTATAACGTAATTCTGTTTGAAAATTCTTCAAATAAAAAAATCCAATGTTTGTTTTCTTTTCCATCTGTTAAATTTTCCCTCTTCTTGTTTTCAATCTCATTATCATCGAATAACGAAATTTTCCTATCCTATTTCAAGGTAATATTTGTGATGGTGGTGGTGGTGGTTTTCCCCATTGTTTTTTTCTGGTAAATTGAACGGTAAAAGAAACCCCTGTAGATAATTAGTGTATTTCCAATTAAATGTAAATCTTTTCTAATACACTGTTTATGTCATCAATGTTTGATTTT